AACTTTGATGGTAGATGGTCTAGATTTATCCATGTCGAGAGAGCAAATCACAGCATAGTGGTCAGATGGTAAGCCAGGAACAATTTCAATGGGACCAGATACTATAGTATTTGTGGGAAGCAAGGGTGGCCAAGTGGTGAGAGCGTCGGCCTGTCACCACTGTGGTCCCGGGTTCGATTCGGACTTGGGATCATATGTGGCTTGAGTTTGTTTCCGTTCTCTCCCTTGTTTCGAGGGTTTTTTCTCCGAGTTCTCCAGAACATTTCGTTCCTAGCTGTGCTCCGTGATCAGATATGGGTCGGTTGGTTGGCTGCTTTGTGTGTGTGTTGTAACTGTGATTGTCCTCGTAATGATAGCGCCCTCGTTTACCGCATAACCGACTCGATCACGTGAGCTGCGTCCTTCGTAATTCAGCACTCGGGCTGCAAGGATGGGCGATTAGCTACCACCAATTTATTTATTTATTTATTATCATCCTCACGATGAATGATCAAGTCAAGTGTATGGCCTCGCCATACAAGTGTATGGCCTACGACAACTCCCCCCCCTCGACCCACAGATCGGGGTAAATGAACGAACTGATGATCTCTTAGCGTGTTGGTGATTTTAGCAATTGAAGACGCTAGTTCCTTAGGATAGTTTTCAGTCTCCGTTAAAACTAGAATGTCAATACGTTTACTAATAACGAGATCACACAGAGCAGCAGACTTCTTATTGATCGAGCGTGAGTTCCATGTTGCTAAGCGAAGTTGGGAGCTGCGTCTCAAGGTAGGTTTCTTACACTTAATCTGGATAAGAGAATTGCGTGAAGGCTGTGGTTGGAATAATCTGGATTGTATAGGAATAGCAGCAAGGTGTTGGTCATTGTACCTGTGCTCATTAGTTAGCTTTGTTGGGTTTTCAGGCTCAGAGTGACCAGGAATGATATTTTGGAGACTTGTTGGTAAACAGCGACCTTTAGAACCAAAGCGCTTGTCGTTGGTTATTCTAACTGGAATAGAGTTAGAGCCATATCCAATATTGTTATATGAGCGTTTTAAGTTGTTTATATTTTTGATTGAATTCCTTGGATAATAGGTACATTGTTGAAATTCCCAAGGTAGCGCAGTTGAAGTCTGAATTTGCATAMGCCAATTTTTTAAAATGGCGCCGCTGARACGAATTTTAAAGTCATATTCAGGTTGAAGATGGTAAAAGCTGCCAGCAAAATCAGGAMTATACTTTCTTTTTGAAGTAACTACACTTATAGGTCTTTTCTTTTATGATCCGGCTTTGCATCCTCGACGTGTGATGGTCCTTGCGATCCCATTCTCTTTAAGTACACACCAAGTTGCATTATCCACTGAAGGAATATGATGTATTGACGAAATTATAGARWTTAAAAATGTCCTATTGATCAAATTACAGATTACAAATCTAATCAAGCCGCCAATGGCAACACAACTCGAAGATTGATTGTGCAGACGAATACAGAAAGATATAATGATGAATCAAATTATAATTACTTAACGAATAGAATTTGAAATAAACGATTTATGAATATAGTTTTATAATTTAACTTCGGTTCTGGATAAACACAAGCGAGCGCCGGTGAGATGAATACCACTCGAGCTACAACTATGAGTAAATGCTGCCACGACCAGAAGCGCTACATCTGGATCCGAAAAACAAATAAAATCACCGCAAGTGTCAAAAAACAATAACAACTAAATCCCTAAGAAAACTTGGAGTTCAATTATTAAGCAAACAATATAAATTTCAATGTTGGTGGGCGAAAAAAAATTGAGTTTGCCTAATAAAAATTATTCGCAAGGAAAACCAGAATACCAGAGCAAAGGTGAAGCAAATCGACGAATACTAGTGATCACATGATCACGTGGGCTTCCAACATAAAGAGCTTAAAGTTACATTATGGCTTCATTTCTCCACATTCATTACTGATGAAATTACCCANATACAAACTTACAATGTGGTTTCATGCATGCGTTTTAGCTTTATTTTCTTGATGGTATACTAACGGATATGATACTAATTCTTTTAAAAGCTGCCAAATAAAAACAAGTATTCCATTCCAGACCATTCAAAAGGTAAGACTTACATTTATTTAAGCGCTTTAACTGTTTGAAAATCAAAAAAAATTTTCTTACATATGGTGTACATGTATTCCACAGGCTAAAGAAAACCACCCTATTATCTAGTGAAATCTATTTTCCACTCTTTAAGCAAGGAGTTGGCATACTTTAATTTTTTTAGAAGTGCTGAAGCAAATGCATCAGCCTTTAACTGGTCATGACTTGGTGATTTCAGTCCATTTTTAATAGTGTAGTCTCTTTCCCATTCTACAAGCTGAGCTTGGAGGTTTCTTGCCTCTACAAGGACTTGRGACTGAAAGTGTGCTAACGAGTTTGTGTAAACTTTTTCTTGCTCCTTATCTSTGCTTTTCTTTCKCTTTAGATCTTTTAAGTACATATGTCGCTTGTCCAAAGTAAGGAGCTCTTTTGTTAGYCCTACAACTATTTGGAGAGCTTTACATAGACTGCTCTTCACAGATGGATGGTCTTGGTTAKTAGAATTTTCTGGTGGCAGAATAAGGTTAGTATTTTGTACAGTGTCATTGTTAGTTGGATTAGGGTCTTGGAGATTGATGACTTCATCTGGAACAAGATAAACCTTTAAAACTTCTTCTGTTTCCACATTGTCCTTGTCTATGGGAGCTACAGAGGTTTCAAATTCTTTAGGATCAGGCACAGACTCAGGTAGTTCAGGCACAGTCTCAGGTAGTTCAGGCACAGACTCGGGTAGTTCAGGCACAGACTCAGGTAGTTCAGGCACAGTCTCAGGTAGTTCAGGCACAGACTCGGGTAGTTCAGGCACAGACTCAGGTAGTTCAGGCACAGTCTCANCCTGGTTATTACAATAAACAGGTTTGGATATTCTCAGGTGACAAATCTGGTTTCCATAGAAACCTAGAGAGAATTTTACAAAATAAGCTGGAGACCAATAGTAAATTTAAGAGTCAAATTTTAGAACAATATTATTTAATACAGGAAAAATTTTGGCTTCCCAACCAATTTAAAAACGCAAAGAGACTATGGATAAATCACAACCAATTTTAAGGTGAATAGTCTGATGGATAAACAATGGAATGAATAAATTATGTCTGAATCGAGCCTGTTACAACTGTAACATCAGCTGTTATTACTCTATCTAATTGACAGTTTTCAGCTAAAATGCAATCCCCTTTTGACAACAAATTTGCTGCTATAGCCAGCACATGTGCATCTTTGTCTGCATTTCTTAGCATTTTGAGTTTTCTTTCCTTTGCAATTTSTTTCAATTCCTTCAACTTGATGTCTTTGTGYCCAGCAACTTTTAACCATTTTACTAAAATAGCTTGTGCCGATGGAAGGGAGAGTCCTAAAGACAAATCATTACTTATATTTAGAAATCTTATTTGCAATGTTTGTTGAATGGGTTTTTGGAATTCTATCTGAGTCTGTATTGAATATATTTTGTTACTGACTGCATTCATTAATAAATTKTTCTCTATATATATGGGCCTCACTAAATGGTATGACATCATTTGGCAACCTCTGATATACGAAAATGTTACCTCCTTATATGTCCTTGTATGAAGGCATTGTATTTTTTGACTCACTCAAACATCACTTGCCTGTTTTAAAAAGCTCTTTGTATGAAGTTGCTTTTTGTAATACTTCTGTCAAACAAAAAGATAACAATTTWTTATTAATTATCCATAAAATACCTATATTTCTCAGTTCAAAAACTTGTTATTTTCACCAATGAAAATCTACATCTTTAACAGACCATGTAATATCCTCTGCATTATTGGTATTGCAAAAATGGAAAATTTTAAAGGGTTGATGCCTACACTATGTCAATATCATACCCTTTACATTTGATCAATAATATACAACTATTCCCCTCAGGGTCGGTGAATAGTTGTTTTAGTATATACCAAATCAGTTTTCGTCGGAAGAAGATTCTGATGAAGCCAAAAAAGCACAACGTCAGTTTTTGAGGGCCGAATGAGTTGTATTTTATTAAGTAATATCAATTTACTTACCATTGCCAGAAACGACTTYTGCATAAGTCCTTTTATTATTCATTTTTCTAGCTTGAATACGCTGTGGTCACTGTGACTGTGCACGTGTATATATCTAGTGCTGTTATCTCTTTATTTCGTAAGACATTCTCGTGTTACCCAACCTGTCTTTGCGTTGGGTAATATATTGTCACATCACAAAAACAACCTCATTGAAACAAGTTAGCTAGACCATATTTGTTTACTAAATAAATTTATCATCATATTTATGTGAAGTATATGACATCCTAACACATAAAACTTGGTTTATACTACATTCAAATGCATTATTGTAGCAAAGTGATTGTAATAAAAAGTACATATAGATTATAGATTTGTACTAAAAAAAGGATTGCGTTAAGTTACTATCACGTCCATTATATCAGGTGATGACGGAAAGACTCTTGAAATTACCCCGGTATGTATTGTTATCAGCCAAGAAAATAAAAAGGTTATTTAAACTGAAAAGGCAGTACAATACCTCACTGCAGTCGTACAGCAATATCAGTGAAGGATACCAGTTTAAATTTCTTTTATTCTTYATTATTTTATTCTTATCAAAAATATCATATAGCTAAAAACAGCACTTTATGAGTCCAAGGGTCCAAGGGTCCAGTCGATGTTTTACCCTATGCTGTTTACGATGCCAGTTTCATCGATAAGTATTAGTCCCTGTGGACGATAATATTKCATCATTTCGAATGTGAGTAACAATTTTCTGGTGAGTAACAATTTAAACAATGGTTGGGGCGCTATTGTAAAAAATTCTAGGAATTATRGTAGATCGCTTTTTTACCACCTTTTAWAGGTTAAAAGAACATTAAAAAACGGGCAGATTTCAAGTGAGTTKGTTTTACCTTTTTGCTGAACCGAACCTATAAAGGGCTCTACAAAATRTTACTTTGTTAAACTTAGATCCAGTTTGTCTTTGTATTTTTGATGCAATTTCATGTGGACTCATACCAGTTTTTTCAGCGCCACTTCATCATATTCCTCATGGTAGTTAAACTATGGATRTTYCTGTTGGACGCCCTGTCTTAAATACTAAACCATSTCCTGTCTCACGAAATACTTTACAAATACCAACAACAGTACGCCGCAATATAAAAAGAGTAGTTGCAATTTCCTTGTAATCTCTGTTTAACATATATTTCAACCATGCCACTCTCCAACGTAGATCATCTCATCTCCTCATCAACTTATGAACTACTTCTGTAATCGAATTTGCGATATTCAAAGTCTGCTCACTTCACATGATMATATAATCGGAACCATAAGCCGAGCATAACAAGCCTCTAGGTCCTTTTTAAGGTGTTTGGGGATCTGAGATCCGCATAGTTTTGGTGGATTAGAGCTTCAGAGGKGTTAGTAATACCATGAACAGAGTTTTTAATCTGACAAGGTATTTGTTTATAATACTCCACTGTAAGTCCTCAGTATTGAAACAAATTAGTTATATGATATAACTAAGTGTAACCATGATCCGCAGCACAAGTGAAATGAATCAGTATATAAATTGTAGCGCCTCTSTACCTTCAACTGCACACTTCAAGCTTGACCTGTTGACCTTGCAGTTTTTTTAATCAGTTAATAGAAACCTCGCTCACTAATATATTTCTTCTTCATATGTTAATTTAATAGAATAAAGTTATGAATAAGCTTATAAGTTCGTAACATGTTGGGAAACAACAGATCACTTATTTAAGATCACTGACTAACCAAGAAAGTACAAAAAATATTCTGTCTTCCAGAT